CCGGCGTGCTGAGGGCTCGCTATGGCCTGTCCGCCCGCCGGCCGCATGGAGCACCGAGAGCTGCGGGCGCTGCCCGGGCCCGGCTCTTCATAGAATCACAGAATGGGCTGAGTTGGAAGGGACACACAAGGATCGTCAAATCCAGCTCCTGCACAGCACCATCCCCCAAATCAAACCATATGCCTGAGAGTGTTGTCCTAACACTTACTGAACCTTGCCAGGCTTGGTGCTGTCCCCACTTCCCTGTTCCAGTGCCCAGCCACCCTCTGGGTGCTGTTCCTAATATCCAACCTAAACCTCCCCGACACAACTTCAGGCCGTTCCCTCGAGTCCTGTCACTGATCAGTACCTGTGCCTCCTCTCACCCTCACAAGGAAGTTCCAGACTGCAATGAGGTCTGTCCTCAGTCTTCTCCAGGCTGAACAGACCAAGTGACCTCAGCTCCTCCTCACATGGCTTCCCCTCAAGGCCCTTCTTCATCCTCATTACCCTAGTTTGGATGGTCTTTAATAGCTTTATATCCTTCTTATGTTGTGACCAAACTATACACAATATTCAAGGTGAGGCCGACAATCCCCTCCCCTGCCCGGCTGTGATGCTGTGCCTGATGGCCCCAGGACAGGGTTGGCTCTCCTGGCTCCAGGGCACTGCTGGCTCAGATTCAGCTTCCCACAGACCAGGACCCCCAGGTCTCTTTCCATGGCACTGCTTTCCAGCATCTCATTCCCCAGTCTGTCCATACATCCAGGGTTGCCCCATCCAAGGTGCAGAATCTGGTACTTTCCCTTGTTCAGAATCAACCATTCATATGGTTGGTGATTGCCCAGTCCTTTTATTTATCAAGGTCTCTCTGCAGGGCCTCTGCTCCCAGTTCTCTATCATCTCTTCAGCTCTGCCTTACGTATGTTCTCAGGCCAAGCCCAGTCCCACTCTGGAGCTGCTGAGGGTTCCTTGTGCTGATGCCCTGTTTGGCCAGGGAGTGGGGCAAAGCAGCCCTGTCCCATAGCACCATCCACCTCCTGGCTGCAGCCACCAGCTTTCCAAGTGGACGTATGACAAGTAAAATATTAAGTAATTTCAGAAAAAAGAAAAAAATCCATTTCTTCAAGGAGAACTATGAAGAGGTCAGCTCTATTTTGAATAAAATAAACCCAAACCAAACACAAAACTGTTGGGACCTGTGTTCACACTATAGTAAGAAGACCCCTGAAGTTTTGCTACTTAGTTGGTATGTACCAGAGTGCTGTTTTCCTATCAAAAAAACCACATAACACTTTTTACATTGTTCTCCTTCATGACTACAATTTACAGGGCTGTAAAACCACAGAAATAAATGTGTCCTTGAAAAATTTCAGCTTCAAAGTACTGCAATTTTAACACCATCAAATGAAAGTAAATATCAGTTTCTTTATATAAGTAATACATGTAAATATCCTTATGTTCAACCTTGTATGAGGCCAGCCTGGACATCCTGTGGAGCACTGCCTTTCCTTTGAGACAAGACCCCTTTTCTTTCCCTAGTCTTAGCTCTCTGTTTAAAGCCCTGTAAGTCTGGATGGTTTAATTACTGCAATGAATAGATTCAAGGTCAGGAAGAACCATTAGAAAATAACAGAGGCTATATCCCACTTTCTTTGTATTAATCTCAGTTACAAAGCTATAGGCAGAGAATTTTGATCCCTTAAGAAAAGGGCAGGCAACAACATACATATTTCTCAGAGATAGCTTTGAATATTTTGTAGTATGACAAACTTCTGTTGAAACCCATAAGCTGCTTCTCAAATCAGTGGAACTGGTTAACAGTGAGAGGTAACTGGTGTAAACCTAGAGAAAAACCCCTGTATTTTACCTCAGTCCTGTAAATTAAGTCCTCTTAAAACCTGCTTTGTTTCACAGCAAGACAGAGCTCAAATGTGCGTAGCTCAGGACAGACCACAATCACTGGCTGCTATATGCATACTTAGCAATCTTCTGAGTGCTTCCAAATACATCTATAGATGACTTTTATTTGTCTCCAAACCAGTTTGGAACCTACAGGGAAGGCCTCTCTCCTGCCACTGCCTATGGCACAAATACTTATAAATGCAGAAAAAAAAAAAAGGCAAAACCTTTCAAGAATTACTTCAGGAACACCACTCATCTTTTTTGGGGGGGCATTAAAGCAGCAACCTAATTGAATTGAAATCTGTGGTGAATCTATTAAAAGAAAAAACACACTGGCCAGAGAGAGAGTCATGTTCCTAACCACACCAGCAGGCAGATTTCCCCATTTCTATGTCAGATTGTGACACATGAAGCAGAACAAGTGCTTTTAGCTACTTTTGCCCAAGTCTCACACAGCTCACAGCTGCAGGCAGCAGACTTGCCTGCTTCATATTACCCTGCAGTTGTCACCCCTGCCAGGCACACGTTCTGTAGCACATTACACCCAGACACAGGAGGGCAGGCAGCAGAGAAACCAGTCGGCCCATTTAACACCACATCTGCAGGTGTGATGATGGGAACAGAAGTGCCCAGTTCACAGGCCAGGGTCCTGCCACTAATTAAGTCTCTCTTTTTAATGTGACTACATAGGTGGCAGGAACAAATTAAGGTGGTATAGGAACTTTTGAATACTTCTAATTATAGCAGGGGGTGGGATAAACAAGAGCATCCAGTAAACCCACATCTAAAACCTGGAGACTGGAGCTGTACATTTTAGTGGAAGGTGGTTTTTTTTCTTCTTTGGACCAAACTGCTTTTGGGGGCAGACCATATGAAGATGGAAAATAGCATGTTACTGTGGGTAGAGCTGGTAAATTACCAACATTTAAGCCTGCTTTGTATCTCCCCTGAAAGATTCTACTTTCTATTGTGCATGTTATTGCTAAACATCAGTCATTCACACTGACATTGCCTATGGCTCATAACTGTGGCAGCAGATGTCTCTTTTCGGTTGCTGGTTATGTAGTTCAAATGTTAGGGAATTACTACAAAAGTAATTTAGTCCACATTAAAAACTCTGACAATCATTCCTCTGGAGTTTGAAAGAGGGATCTATAACCACTGACACTGACCTAAATCCCAAACAATAGTCAAGAGCATGGAGCTGGAAGGAAGTGGCAACACCAGTTGTCTTGTCTGGTCTGATCTTGTCTATCCAGCATTGTGAGACAGGTCAAAGCATCATTCATTTCAGATATCTGTCAGAGAAGAGTAGCTGTGAGACCAGCTGGAGATGGAGTTCTGGGAGAGCAGTGAGGTGTATTTGGGATGGTTGGTTCAGGTCCTGTGAACCAAACCCAGCTGAGGTCTTGAGTTTCATTTCCACCAAGAGAAGCGTGGACCAAATATTGTCACCAGGAAGCATGCTGGAAAGGACAGGGTGAACACCCCAGCCTGCCTGCTTTCTTTTGTGACATCAACAACACGAGTGACTGTGTCTGAATCTGTGCTTCTGCTTAAAGTACATCCTATCTTCTCACTTGAAAGGCGATTTAGAAACTAGAGTTACTAGGATATGGAATTTTAAAGGCTAAATTATTTGTATAAAATGCTAAGAAGCTTTGCATTTTCCTCTATGCAAACTACGCGATTTGGGGCAGGGAGAAATGTCTCTAGGCAAAAGAAGGAATTCAAGGCCACAGATGTCTCAAGGGCTGGATATTCTGAGATATTAACAAAAAATAGTTGAAATTTTTTAAATAATCATACACATTAGTGAAAAATATTTTTTTAAAGGTTCTATAGTAAAGTAATGAGAGACTCATCATTGTTCATGTGGCAGGTAACACTGCTAGTCCCAGCTGAAGAGACCACTGGTTTTACAGAACTGAAATTCTCTTTTTAATATTCATGTTAAATTTGACGTGGGTTTTTTTTCCCCTGGACCCAAACTGACAACATCAATACTAGGAAATAAACAGCGAACATGTCTGACAGTTAAATGTTTTGGGGTTTTTGACTGTTAAGTAAAAAGAAAAAGAGCTTTTTTAAGGTGAGTGCTGTTGCTTGCTTCGAGCAGGAGAAGAAGAAGAAAGCACAGCTATCACATGGGTCCTGACAAAAACCCTCATAGCAGCAGAAACATCAGCAGCATCAGCAGCAGGATGAAGCCCATCTTTGCAAAACGCTGCTTTCTCAGGGGTTGAACCACTAATGACCATTAGCAGCTTGCTCTGAAATGTCCAGGAGGGCAGCTGTAGTGGTTTAGATTTGCCAATTTGAGTTTCCTGGCCAATGCACCAAATAATGTAGTGGGTTTTGGCACTGGCTAAAATCATCAGGGTACTTACTCATTTTTTGCTGTGAGATATGGATTAGGAGAGGGGCAAAACAGGCTTAAAACTTAAAAGGAATAACGAAACTTTATTAACAGGACTACAAGAATAAGAAACCAGAATAAAACCTTCAGAAACCTTTCCTCCCCCTACCCAACTTTTTCCTTTCCCAACTGACATAGAGACAAAATTTGGAATGTTAAAACAGTACCAACTATACAATAGTCTTTTCATCAGTCTTTGTAGGGAGAGGAATTTTCTCTTGTCACGCCATGGAAAGTTCTCCACAAGAAACAGTTCTTTCATGGCTTTTCATTTTTATGAATAGCAGCCACTCGGGCAAAAATTCTGCCATCCTGCCATCTCCTCCCATTTTCACAGCCCTCCTAGAGGTGTGTCTATGGGCCTAAATGCAGCTAAAACCAGAATTTTTTGTCTGTTATAGGGGGTGCAGGGGGAGGCTAAGTCACTCTTCTGGAGGTGTGATGTACATCCAGAGTCATAAACAACATAAAGGAAACAGGATGTCATGCAGTTGTTCATGGTGGTTGTGAGCTATGAATTCAATTAAAACAGGGTCTCAGAACACAGAAGCCTTCTGGGTTGACACAGAAAACAGTCTAACAGCAAAGGACACTGGAAACCAGCTCCAGGGCTGTGCTGGAGGTGGTTGGAGAACAATCAGGTCCAGCAGCACCGCTGTTTGGATCTGCTGCCTGGGGCACAGCAGTGGTCCTCTTGACACAATACTGTCATGCTGTCTGGCTCCAGTTTTAGTGTTGGACTGAGAGTCTGGGCTTCCAAAACCAAAAAACTCCCACCAATCCTCCCCCTGTCAAATCACCTATGAACAACCTTTCCACTGTCCACAGTCATGCAGTAAGTTGCTATGTTATGGCCAGACTGTAATTCAGAGACTCAAATCCCAAAAGGCTAATTAAAAAAATACCAAATCATTTCCCAGCCATCACTTTGAATATCAGAGATGAGTCAGAATCTTTGGCAAAAAGCCCCAGCCCCAAAACCATTAGGCCATTCCCCAAAGTAACTGGACTAGGTTGCATCCCATACAGTAGGGAATTCTCCCTGTTTATCCACAGTTTTCCTGCCTTAGTTTCTAAAATGACCCTACATTCTCCACGTCCCTGGGTCTGTTATTCATGATTAAACCCCCAGTGATTAGAACCCCAGAATCTTCTGATTATCATGACTTAAACCATTATTTCATGCTGCTTCTGCCAGCTGGTTCTGGACTACCTTACCCACAGACTGTGTGGTTGAAACTATGGTATGTCTCACAGCACAGGGATCTACATGTGATCTTTGCATCTTGGACTTGCCTTGAAACATGAGTAATGGTTGTTGCACTTCACTGCTAAACCACACAGCACTGAAGCAGAAGCTGTGTTGACCAAGGCACAGGTTGCTATCTGAGATTGACAGAGTGACTTTTTGGAAATAATAATTGAAGCAACAAGACATCAGAGATGAGAATTTCATTATATTGCTGTTGTTGTCTTTTCGTAAGAAGATTAAACAGAGATTGCCTAACTTTCTCTTTGGACTCACACAGCTTTCTCTTGGAGTCATGTATGGATGCTATGTCTCTCAGTTAAATAGCACCCACTATTTGGGTGAAGGGTGGGGTGAAGGAAGTCGTGGTTGTCTGCCTTCCAGTAGTCCCTCCAGTCATGGGTGTCTTGCATCTGTTTGACCACAAAATGGAAGCCCTTGCAACCACATTTCACACAGCCACGTAAATACATAAATCTGCTCTGACCATAGTCATAGGGGAAGAGTTCTGTTCTTAGAACAGTCAAACAATCATCAACTCATTTCAGCTTGGTGTCTTCAGAGTGTGGGGAGCAAAATATTTTTCTGACAAAATTAAATTCAGTACATTAATTTCCAGGGAGGTTCATCTTACATCTAGGAAAGTTGTCTTTGCTGGTATAAGGCAGGAGTCTTAATTTATGCAAGATTCCTAAAGGTTTTTCCCTAAACTACTACTGTCTGTCTTCCCATGAGATTAAGGCACTCTTCTGTCTCTACACAAAATCCCACAGTTCAGTGCTCACTTGTGTCTGTATATGAATATACTGAGAAACAAAACAGTGGTGCAAAAAAAACCAGCCTTGGCCTAACTGTAGGTGTACTGTTATCAAAGGAAAAGAGCTGTAATATAAAAGTACATCATACATAGCTACCCTCTCTCCCTGTAGGGGAGAAATGATTGCCAGTGCCTTTTAGAGAAAATGTCTTTGTCTATTACATATGTGGGGAAGGACAGAGTGGGCAGAACCAGGAATTTTTTTGAGAGATTTTGCTTTTAATATGTTGAGCATCCTTTAAGTGGTTAACTAAAAATATCCTTCCCCTAGTTCCCGATGATAAAATTCTTACTGTGAGTGTTGAAAATTTCATGTTATTTGAAATAGGTGTTTGCTTGAAATAAACAGAGTTGTTAGCCTACAAACTGAGCTTTATCTGAACTATACAAATATGTTATGTAAATCAAAGATAGATTGTAGTGAAACTTGGAGATAATAATCTGAATATTCATGGTAGTTACAACAGTAAACCTAGGAGCTTAAATATTGTTTTAATATTAATAGCAAGAGTGACCAGCCCATAGATTGGGTGCTGGAGTGTGTCCAGAGCAGGACTGGTGAAGGGTTTGGAGAGCAAGTCTGTTAGGAATGGCTGAGGGAGCTGGGGTTGTTCAGTCTGGAGAAGAAAACATTTGGGAGTGACCTTATCACACTCTTCAACTATGTGAAAGGAGGTTGCAGCCAGGTGAGGATTGGGCTTTTCTCCCAGGCAACAAGCCACAGGACAGGAGGACATAGCCTCAAGCTGTGCCACAGGAGGTTCAGGATGGACATCACAAAGAATTTCTTCACGGAAAGAGTGATTAAACATTGAATTGGACTGTCCAGGGAGGTGGTAGAGTCACTGTCCCTGGAGGTGTTGAAGAAACCACTGGACATGGCAGCCAGTGCCATGGTGTAGCTGACAAGGTGGTGATCTGTCACAGGTTGGACTCGATGATATTGGAGCTCTTTTCCAACCTAATTTGTTTCATGATTCTGTGCTATGAACTGTAACAGCCATATTACAGTAAGGACTATAGGGCTGACCCAAATCCCCACCGACACCCACGCAGGAGGATGTGAAGATGACCATGTAGCAACCACTTGGTAATGGAACAGAGAGCCAGTGAAGAGAGAGAAGATCCCAGACCCTGATATTGCTGTGGGTCCAGACTGTCATGTGAGGGATGGGGAATCAGATTGTAAGGGTATAATTGCCCAGGGGTGTCTTTATTCCTGGTCTGTCTTTTAAGGTCCCTAGCTTGAGCTGCCAGATGTCATAAGTGATCTGTGCCAATAATCCTGCCAAATTTAGATGAGAGCCTGGTGTTAAAAATTTTATTAACACCAAGATCTAAGCCAAACATGAAAAATCACACTGGTTAGGCCTTGTTCAAGTTCTGCTGTAGACTTGGTCTTCCCACACTAATACTGGGTACAGTGGGCCAGAAGGCTCCTGGGCAGCGAGCAAATACAAATACCACTTCCTCTCTGCTCACCAATTCTCATCAGAGAAAGCCTCATGCTGGGAAGAAGAACCAGCTCTTTGTAATTGCACTGTGGGGCTCTCAGGAGCAGAGGAGGAGCAATGACTCTGGCTTCAGGATCACGGGCAGGGAATGATGGGGAGCTCACAGCAAGATGGAGGGTGCAAGAAATCCTTCTCACCCACAGAAGCAAGAACTACTTTGAATGTTGTCAGGATGAGCATTTGCACCATTGTCCTTCTCAGCATCACTGCAGTCACAGGAGCTACAGCTACTTCTGATGGTACTTTGGCACCACCTCTCTGTTAAGGGCATGGCAGGAAAAGGCAGGATATCAGAGTGATATGTACTCAACTATTTTTTGAGAAAGAAAAGTCTGGTAGAAGGGATCTTTACAAATTGCTGAAGGGACTTTTGAATGGAAAACCAGTAATTTGAAAATTAGACAGAGGCACAAGGGAAACAGGATTTTGAGATGTACCTGAAAGAGCATTTGTTTCTCTTTAGAGAAGAGTGGATGCTTTCATCACTGTATCATCAGCCTCACCAGCCTTATTTCTCTTCTTTCTCTTCTTCCTGGCTGCTCTTTAGCTCTGCACCTTCTTTAATCAGTATGCATGGGACACAATACACACAACCCCCTTTGGCCAGTCCAGAGAAGCTTAGAAGGACTTTTTGCACTACTTCAGATTGCGCACGATCACTTCAGTCTGTCACAAGCCCATCAGTCCTGCACGTGTTCATGGAGGTATGTCCGAGGAATGGAACAGCTCTGTTGGGGCAGAGGGGGAGGGAGAGGAGTCTACACCTGACTCTTCCTGCTGCCATAAATCATTCAGAAGGAAAAATACAAAGGGAATGGTTAGGGGTTTTCCACCTGAAGCAGCAAAATACCCATCTGAGCTCAGAGCCAGACTTTTGGTCTGTTTTGTGCTGGGTAAAGAAAGCCAGCGAAGGCAGGGTCGGTATAGAAAGGCAGGAAATATCGCACGAGAACTGAACAGGTCTGCTGTTCTGGCAGCTTGGCTATTAGTCTGTCTAAGCTAGCCCCTCTGGCACAAGGTACAGTTGCTGCCCTGAATTCCTCTGCAAACACCACAGAGGCAGAACTAACTACTGTCTTTGAGTCACACTTTAGCTCCACTCCGTGCCAGGGCTCTTGGCAGCTCTCCTTTGGGTTGACCAAAGCTGACCACAGATGTGAAGCCTTATGGTATTGTGTTTCTCTAAAAATAAAAGGAAGGAATTCTGGTTTTACACTCCTAGAAACCAAAATTGCATTCCCACAATAGCCTTGTCCTTACACTTACAGTGTTGGTGCCTTGTTTCCTAGGACAACGTGAAACTGGTGCAAACCAAGGCAGCTTCCATCTGCAGAGGTGTCTGGGCTTGAGCAGAGTTGAAAGTCCTGTTATGTGTCAGTGATGTGGCCTGCAGCAAGAAGTCAGCTGTACCACAGCTCTCAGAAGGAAGCAAAACATCTATGGTGCAGCCAGTGTACTTGTGCAGAAGCACAGCATGCAAACTGGATCCTCCCTAAGCCTCTCAGCTCTGTCTTCCACCCTCTCTCTAGTGCAATTATGGGTGCTGTTATCACACATGCAAGTATCAATCTTTTTATATAAGGTCAGATCTAACACGCATGCAATTGGAAATTAACTCATGTTGTATAAAATGAGGTCATTCCATTTCAGGTACATTGTATCCTAGCATTTAAGTAGCATGTCTTCTAGGATAAAATAAATCAAGAAAAAAATGTTTGCACGTAATAATTAAGCAGCAGCCTTCCCAGGACAACCACACATGCCTGAAGGTAAATTTGAGCAACTCTCATTTTTGCTGTAAAAATTTTGAAGTGTTTTACCATCAGCTACAAAAACAAGAAAAGAGAGAATATTTTTGAGCATGAGCAGTTATTTCTGCACTACATGAAGCACAGAAATTATTCCAGTCCTGTGATCTAAGGCTCACACTAACTTATCTCTCTTATAATAATATCTTACCTCTCTTATAATAATATCTTATCTCTCTTATAATAATATCTTATCTCATAATCCAGAGAGCTGCAGTCCGCAGAACACAGCTCTTGAATGTTAATTTCTTTAAACACATCTCACTGGTCCTGTCACAGGGGAACCCTTGATTTTAATTGTTCATCTGATGACATACTACCATTGCTAAGCATCTGAACCAAGGAAGAATATTTGTCTAAGGCTGAGTTTGTTTGCATGACAAGTGCAAGGAGGATGAGAGGGCAGAGTCCAGAGAAGTCCAAACTGGAAAACACTAGATCTTTGTTGTTCCTTCACTGCTTCTACCCAGGCCTGACCCCACCTCTAAAGCTTTGTCTGACCCCACCTCTAAAGCCTCATTTCACATCTGAATCAGCTACTGAAGGAGTCAGGGTCAAAATCCTCATCCAAACATCGGTGATCAAAAAATCCTACTTTTTAGTCTCAGCACAGTAGCCTGTGCAGTAGTATCCAGCTTTATACCTCAGAGGAAATGCTGTGCCACTGCTCTCCCTCTCCTCTGCAGCTTTTCTACCGCTGCCTTGCAGCCTCTCACCCTTTCCTGGTACAGCCAATAAACTGGTGTAAATCCCTGCCTGAGGAGGTTTCTGCAGGACACCAGCAGGATGCAGACAATGATTCTGCACAGCACCATGAAACTGCTTCTTTCACATTTACAGACCCAGCTCCATTCTGTCCTTCTGTTGACACACGGAGCTGTTTGGTCACAGCAGAGTCTGAATTCTGCAGAGCTGACACACAATGTGAATGCACCTAGAGGTAAGAGCTAGAAGAATAAACAATTCAGAAGCTAAAAAAAAGATACTGCTACCTGGAGGCCAGCAAGCGGAAAACCACATGGACTTTAGCTGATACTTGTAGCTGTCCTGGTGTCTGAGTTTCCACAGTTCTCATCAGCTGTGTGCCTGCATTTCATGCTCAGCTCCATCTCTCTCTGCAGCAGCTGAGCAGCTCTGAGCACCTGCCCCTGCAAACCTTTGTGCTCAGAGCTTCTTCACTCACAGGCTTGCTCTGGGGTTGGACTGTCCGCAAAGCCGCAGCTCTGCTTGGCTATCACGGGGTGTGTTGCATACAAAGGGACCACGCAGAGAGGATCATCTCCCTTCCCTCTCTTCACAGACTCCAGAGCAAGTCACAGTTCCAGAGATACCAGCAAAGATGTGACCTGGGTCACAGCCACCAGTGTCCATGGTATTCAGGACACAGTCTTTGTGAGCTCCACTTACTGTGTTTAGCTTTTCTCCAGGCTGGTCAGGTCTCCAGCCAGAAGGAAAAATACTTCACAGCTTTTGTTACAGTTTCCATTCAAATAAGTCATATCTCTCTTTCCTCTGAATCTTTTAGATTCACATACTCTGGTATGTGAATCTAAAAGAGATCAGATTCACATACCAGAGTCCACAGGGTTCTGTAACCAGCCTTATCCCTACTCTTTGTTCTATTTACTCCCAAAGCCATCCCAAACCCTTCTGCAGGAGGGAGCATGCAACAACCTGAGCATTCTGGAGTCAGAGATTCAGCACAGGCTCCTGGGAAACTCCCAGAGCAGATAAGAGCATCTCTCCTTCCTCTCACTGAACACTGGCCTTCTTGCTGGTGAATTCAGTCCATGATGATGACAAATTTGGTTGGAATGTGCCCACCAATATCAGGTTCTGAATAAATTCCTTGTTTTGCTTTTCTACACATGCAACTTTGTTTTACTATTAAACTGTCTTCTTCTCAACCCACAAGTTTTCTCATTTTTGCCCTTCCAGTTCTCTGCTCAATCCCTTGGGAAGTAATTAATAAACAAGTGGCTGTCAGGGGGCTTAGTTGCTGGCCAGAGTTAAATCACCAGAACAGAAAAAAAGTACATGCATTTTTTGGTGGTACTTGTCTTTCTGGTTTGTTGTTTGTTTGGTTTTTTTTTTTTCTCATACCAGTATTAAACTTGTGTCTTCCTCAAAAAAAAAAAAAGACAACAAACAAACAAAATCCCAAAACAAAATAAAAAAAAAACCCAAAACAAACCCAAACCAAAAAACTAGCCCAAACCAACTGAAGGAAAAAGGGTCTAACAAATTTAGTGTTGTTGGCAAGAGTGATGCCCCTTGCTATTTCATCCATGGCCCAGTGGACTGACCTGTTTAGGAGCAAAGAGCTGTCAGAGCTGAAGGTCAGGGCATTGGACACCAATTGGTTCTTAGTGTTGTCCCCACTGCTGTTGGACACTTGCATTAGGAACAGGCTGCAAATCAGAAGCTTGATGGAAAAACAAAAGAAGAAAATTCATGGCAGGAGCAGCAATGTAATGATATTGACCTGTGTTATCCAAGAGTTGGAAGTCTTCCAGAAGGACAGAGCCAGTCAGGGGATTGATCTTCAGATTTCCTTGTCATGAGGTCACACTGCAAACTCACAGCAGAGAAAGTATCACAATGACCTTTCTTCATCCACTCTTGGAAGAAATGGGGGCAAAGGAGTGAATGTCATAGGGGTTTGTTTTTGGGGCAACAAGTGGCAGGGAGCAGCTTAGGAAAATGTTCATCTTTTATTAGGAGAACAAGAAGCCCCAAATCTATAGGTTTCCAATCATATATCCACACATGCCAGTTGCTCTTGTGTGACTTTTTGGCATGATGTAAACTGATGATTTCTCTGAGTTTTTCCTCTAAAAAATAGGTAGGCAAAGATTCTTACTATGAAAATCTCATAACTGAAACTGCTCAGAGCAATGTGCATCAAACTGTGCTTTTTACTGACAAGGAGAGTTGAGGACAGGAGGTTGTTCTGGAGCAGACTGCAGATCCAAGTGGCTGCTTGGGGCTTCTGGCCAGTGAGATGCAGGCCAAGCCACATGCCTTCAACAAGGCATACCAGATTTGGATATCATCCAGATTAACAAAGACATTGGGGAAGACAAGGAGCAACTTTGAAGTGAGAGAAATTGTACACTTCAGAAAATTAACTGAGTTTACTTCTGTGAGGGTTTTTTGGTGTTTCATGTTTTCACTGCAGCACTCCCACTAGTGATAACATGGGCTTCAGCAGTGACTGTGTCATCAAGGCAATAACTGGAGCTGCTCTCTGCAGCAGGGAGAGCAGGCAATGTTGTGTGCCTTAACCTGAAGACTTTGGGCATGGTCTCCTACAACCTTCCTGTGGACAAGATGGAAAAATAAGGGTGAGATAAGTGCACAGTGACACTGATGTACAACTACAGAGCTGGAAATACCTTTATGATGGATGTTGAATTTCTGAATGCCTCAATTTGCTTCAACCAAAAATGCCTTAGAATTAAATATTCAGATTGAACATTTAGAAAGACCTTTGAGTCTTCCCTGAAGTCTACCAACAATAAAAAATGCACCAAAAAAATCCCCACAATGGATCAAGTACTGTTTTGGCTCAGTTTCAACTCTCTGTCTGCCCTTAGAGATGTGTTGTTATTTGCCTGACACATAAGATAGAGATTAAAGAATAGATAGCATATTTTAGAACTGTTGCCTTGGTTTTACATGTAACAAACACATGAGGAAGAACATTGGCAAGTCTATGTAGTCTCATGCACCAAGATATGAATAACCATATTGAATAACCAAGATATGAATAAGAATATATGGAGGCATATCAATAAATATATTCCCATGCAAATGTAAGAGAAAGAGCATTTTCAGTCCACTTTTGAAGTAGAGAAAATGTTGGAGGTGAAAAGAAGATAATTTCTCCCCCACATTCACCCAGATACTTAATTGTTCTGTATGTCAACTCATGATGCAGCAGCAAAATATTGTTCTCATGTAGCACCTGGCCTTATGCTGGTAAATGCAGTCCTGGGTGAATTACTCTCTATGTTACAGTCATTCCTAATAATGCTCTGAAGAACTGTAGAGCCTGAGACTTGAGACAAATGAAATTGCCATGTAAATCTAGAATCTTGGAGTTATTTTAATTGGATTTGCTTTCATTCCTTCTTCAAATCTAGCCTTTACCTCACCCTTATTTACAGAAATAAAAGAAACACTATAGTAGTTTCCACAGGAAAACAAACCTACCACAATGGAAGGCACTCAACTGATTTGAATCATTTGAGCTTTACACACACTGTCAGGACCCACCTCATTAACAAGTGTACTGAACATTTCACTCAACTTGGAGTCCAAGCAACTTGGTACAGCCAGGAGCCATCACTAGTCTGGGTCAAAATTGCCCAAGTGCCACAGAGAAGTTGCTCTGGTCCTTCCCTGCTAGGGCCTGCCAGGCTGAGATTGATGCAGTAACATCATCACTGCAGATGGAGTATCCAGCCAGAGCATGAGAGAAAAGAAAGCAGGAGCTTCTCTTTTAGTAGCTCCTTTCAACCATCCCAGCCACAGGTTTCACTTCTCTCAGGGACAGCGAGGCTCAGCATCGCACCCTGGAACCACAGGATCACAAACACACTTTGGAGGTTTGCCCATTTGCAGATAACCCGTTCTTGAACTCTCTTGGAGGAGGAAAGAGAGCGCACCTCACACCAGGAGAGGAAACTACTCCAAGTCTCAGCATGGTATCTGTGTCAAGCAAGTGAAAGGCTATCACCAGATCTTCTAACAAAGCTGTTTCCCCTGCAGTTTCTTTTCTCCCAGAGACACAGTTTGCCTCAGCTGCAGGTCACTCCAGTGAAGGCCCAGCCACA